TCCAAAGCATAAAACAGAGGAAGCAGAGTTGCAGATAAGAGGCCATAAACTGTTTAGGAACTGAAAAAAACATGCCACGTTAAGGTGGGTAGACTTTACCTGAGAAAAGGAAGGCCCTGAAATATTTTAGCAAAGGTGGGGGAGTGACATGATCCAATTGATATATCTGAAGGATCACTCCTGCTGCAGAACATAAAGGTGCACAGAAAATGAATCTTACTGTCTGAATCTAAGGAGTCACATAAAGTTGCAGAACAGTAACATATGATTCCACATATTGTTGGGGGATATGGGTAAGGGAGGGAGATTTTTTTAAATTTTAATTTTAGAGAGGGAGGAAGAAAGAGAGGGAGAGAGAAACGTCGATGTGAGAGATACATGGATTGGTTGGCTCCCCTAGGTACCCCACCCAGGGTTCTAACCCACACTGAAATATGTGCCCTGACCGGAAATCAAACCCATGAGCTTTTGGTGCATGGGACAATGCTCCAACCTACTTGAGCCACACCAGCCAGGCCAATGGAGGAAGATTTTATAGATACACACAATCACATCATCATATATGTCATACGTGACATATATATGAAATATATAATGATATGGTTATATATCAATGCATATAATTATGTGATTATATAAATGTGTGAATAGGTATATTTATAATATGTATTGCATGTTTCTGGAAAAAACGCAAGAAACCAGTAACAATGCTAAACTTTGGAGGAGAAAGAGGGGCTAAGAAAAAGAAACTTACTTTTTACTTTATTCTTCTATTTGAGTTTTAAATTTTTTTACTGTGAACATTTATAGACTTTAAAAGGTTGTAAACAAAATGGAGGAAGGTCTTATACATGCATAGATAAAAGAAACGTATAAGATATTATAATACAAGTATGAATGAACCTAATATTCAGTAGCACTGTTCCTAGCACATAGTAAGCACTCAGACACTGCTATAGATCTCCCCACAAATAAGATATTCTAAAGTAAGTTCACAACCCAAAACAGCTTTTTAATTAAGTTACATTACATTAATTTACTATGTATTTTTAAGCATTCGGAAATTTAAAGAGAAGATAAAGGGTAAGAATGGATTTTGAAATGTTTATAATTTTTATATTATATTTTTACTATAAAAAAGTTCGCATTATTCTTTTCCATTTTTTAAGCACCAAAGAGAATTTATAAAGGAAAAAAGTAAAAGATCCTCTCCTTTCCTGGTACCTCTAATTCTAATACCTAAACATAACCATTCCCAATGACTTCTTGAGTTCTGTATGATTCCAGACTTTCTTTGTGCATATAAAAAGCATATAAATACATGTGTTTGTACATATATACATTACATTCTATTTTAAGGAAATGAATCTCTGCTCCTTAAAATAATCTCGACCTATTCTGGTTCCTATGTGCCATTTTTCTAGGCTCAAATAGAGTAGTGAATAGACAAATCCCCGAGCTAGCAGATATGTTAAATCTCCCAACTAGGTAAATGTTAAAGTGAACATCCTGAACAAATAAAGTTCTCAGAGATCTCCTAACACTCTTTAATGAAACCTTATACAGGGCAAGCAAAATTACTTTAAGGGGAGAAATGCACAGGATGAAACAAACAAAAGGGCAGATGATAGATTAAAGGATACAATGAAGAGTTTATTCCTAACCTTTTAGGACCCGTAGTTTGACTACTATGCTCTTCCACAAAATGAATTATCAAAGATCGTATAACACTTTTTGATGGAACAGATGATCCTTCACGAGGGCAAGCAACTTTGGAATAACTTTCATAGGCAGCCTTTTATACTGGAAAGAAATTACACATATCTTACATTCTTATGACTAGGGAAAGGGAGTAGTCGTACTTCACAGCAGTAGCTGGAGACTTCAAGCAGGGAAGGCAGAAGAGGTACAGTTGCTCTTCTGTAATAGTACCCCTTCTTCCCAACTCTCAGAGCTGTGCTCTGCAGTCTCCAAGGCAAAAGTAAAACCCAGAATCAATATCTCAGGGTAAAAAAGTCCCTGCTAGTCCGAATAAAATCACTTCTTTATGGGTCATGTTGTTTTTCTCTGCACTGATATGGGGCAAAACAAATTAATTCCCAACTACTTCTACTGAGAATAAAACTATTTGGTTATCAAACAATGGCATTTACTTTATTATTTCTTGCTATTAATAGGATCCTCCCTTGCTTTTAGAGGATTCTCAACCTGTGGGTCGCGACCATCGGAAAACACATAGAGCATATCAGATATTTACATTACGATTCATAACAGTAGCAAAATTACAGTTATGAAGTAGCAACGAAAATAATTTTATGGCTGGGGGTCACCACAACATGAAGAACTGTATTAAAGGGTCGTGGCATTAGGAAGGTTGAGAACCACTGATAGGATAATTTTTTAAATAATTAAATAAACCTTTAATTAATCACCTTCTCATCCAAGGTAATATTCAAGTTGGTGTTTGAAAGAACACAAGAGATAAGATATGCTGATCATCCACAACATGACATAGAGGGCTAAAATAGCACAGAAAGGCAGGACAACTTTCTAGTCATTCAGTGACTTAAGTAGTGATTTTTAAATACTTTTTTTAAAATCCTCACTCGAGGATATGTTTATTGATTTTAGAAAGAGAGGAAGGGGGAGAGAGAAAGAGAAAGAGAAACATGGATATGAGAGCGAAACATCGACTGGTTGCCTCCCTTATATGCCCCAACTGGGGATGGAACCCACAACATAGGTATGTGCCCTGATAGGGAATCAAACCCACGACCTTCAGTCTGAGGGCTAATGCTCTATCCACTGAGCCAAACCAGGTAGGGTAAAATAATTTTGTTAGCTGTTTGACTATTATGTTTATGTTAATAAAAAAGGAATCCCTTAATGTAAATTATGGACTTAGTTAATGACAGTGTATCAATATTGGTTCACCAATTGTAACATGTACCACACTAATGCAAGATGTTAATTATAGGGGAAAGTGGGGATGGGAGGGAATATGGGAAGCTGTACTTTCTGCTCAATTTTTCTGTAATGCTAAAATGGTTCTAAAAGGTAAAATTAAAGAAAAACTAGAACATAGGCTTCCTCTCCAATGAGGTCCTCTAATCCATTCTTAAAACTGGTCACCTGAATCATTTCCACAGCCTTATTACTTCACTTTTCCAATAATACAGACCCCCCAAATTTTCCTAAAGTTTAACATAAACAACCTTTAATATGTTCTCATATTTTTTTATGTGTGTGAGGGTAAGTGGCTAACACAGTGATGGCGAACCTTTTGAGCTCGGCATGTCAGCATTTTGAAAAACCCTAACTTAACTCTGGTGCCGTATCACATATAGAAATTTTTTGATATCTGCAACCATAGTAAAACAAAGACTTATATTTTTGATATTTATTTTATATATTTAAATGCCATTTAACAAAGAAAAATCAACCAAAAAAATGAGTTCGCGTGTCACCTCTGACACGCATGTCATAGGTTCGCCATCACTGGGCTAACACGTGTTATGTTCCAATAGATACACTTTAATGGATTCACAAAATCAACAAAGCTCTCATAGACAAAGCACTGTCTGCAAATACTGATATATCTCCAAATACTGCCTCCCCAAAACCCACAAATTCCCTATCTGTCTGATACTTCATGACTCTATAAAATAAAGAATATTTCCTTCTTCTCCTTCTTTGTCTTTAAAGGAGCCCTGATCTATGAGAGAGACATACTGAAGTATTTATAGATGATATATGTCTAGGATTTCTTTTTAAATACTCCAGCATGGTAGGGGAAAATGTTAAAGGAGTAAGATTTAGATGCAACAAGACTGAGCAAATGCTAATACTTATTGAAACTGAGTACTATGTGAATGTTCATTATATGATTCTCTATTTTTTATATATTTGAAATTTTTCATGATAAAAAGTTAGGGAAAAATCTAATTTAAGATTTGACTATCTCACCTGCAAGATTCTAGATATGTATCAAATTTTGTTAAGATTATAATGGAAATCTAACTTTTTAAAAAGTACCTTCTGATGGTAGGTTCATGAGGTACTGCAGAATTACTAGTGATCAGAGTTAAAATCATAGGACAGAATATTTTTTCCTCTTACACCAGAGAATATTTTTACCTCTTAATAAGTTTTATGGTTCTATTTACTAGGGATACTTTAGATAATAATGAATGTAGAAGTACTAGCAAATAGGCCTACAGACAAGTGTTTTAGTTTTAGAAGTGACTAAAATATTCAAATACATCAGTAAAAACCAAGTACAACTTAGAAGTGTAGCTTGAACATTAACTTACCAGACACTGAATAACTGCACAAATTAATAAGCATAACACAAATAAACCTATTTTTCTTGTTCTCCAAAAGCGAAATATTTCCTGTTGCACACACCAAACAAGTCAATCCAAGACTAGTGACGTGGCCATCGGCTGCTAAAATATTCGCTGCTAGTATTAGTGGAGAGAAATGGTGCACCTGCACGTAAGGTGCGTAAGGGAAATGAATGTAACACAATTACAGTAATCAGTCACTGGCAAACGTTGTAGTTCATTATTAATAATTATGTGTAACAGGATATTGTAAAAATTAAGTTACAAAATTTTTATTAAAACGTTTTACATACCGTTATATTGGCCGGCAGCCGAAAGGCCCCGATCAGCCAGGCCTAGGGACCCTACCTGTGCACCAGGCCTCTAGTTTTACAATAACATTTATGAAAACACTTTCTAACACAAAATGTTTCAGGTAATTCACTCTCTCTCATCCCGACTCACCATGAAAACAAATTGCCAAAGTCCAATTACTCTAAACAATCAATCTTTCTACTATTACTAGCTAGTGGTAAAATTTCCAAGAGAAATATGTTCAGTATGTTTATACCAATATGGCACTAGAATATTTAATTAATAGTTAGAGAATGTAACTGAGGTTCAGAAAGAAAATAATAAATTATAAATTGTTTGATATCATACAAAACAACTTACCTTGTAGTTTTTTCAACACAGCAACCTCCATTTTCAGAACTTGTTTTGGTTGTTGGGCTGATTCTACCTTCAGTGCAACGTTTTCCCTGGTAAGCATGTCCAAGGCATCGTAAATTTCTCCAAAGCCCCCACCCCCAATCTTCCTCAACTGCATAAGAAATAAGAACACACAAAAAATTACTAGAAGTTTAACTGGAAACCAATTAGTCTCTGATATTAAATATAATTTTGCTACTGCTGTTTTATTATAAAGAGATCTTAATATTATTAAATTAACCATGACATGCCAAGAAGAAATGTCTAGAAATAACATCAGAACCTTTTCCACAAATTTATCCACAAAGAGTTAAAAAATCATTTCAGCCACAAACTATTTTAAAATTTGGTCTACAGTTAGCATTAGAACTGTCACAAAAACAATATCTGAAAGTGATTTGTTTGATTTTAAAATTTGGTCTACAGTTAGCATTAGAACTGTCACAAAAACACAATACCTGAAAGAGATCTAGTTTTACAATAACATTTATGAAAACACTTTCTAACACAAAATGTTTCAGGTAATTCACTCTCTCTCATCCCGACTCACCATGAAAACAAATTGCCAAAGTCCAATACCAGATTTGTCTCAGCAACCAGATTTGTTGTTTTAATTCTAAGGTAATCATTTGAAGACTTTTTAAACCATGAAATATTTTTGCCAGTTGAAATCTTATCTGGAACCTAACTGAGATGTGTATGTGGGGAGTTTGGGGTAGAAATAGGGCAGCCAGAGCCAAGCCCTCTCCGCAGCATTTACCCTCCTTTCTGAGGAACTGAACAGGCTTCAAAGGGCACACAGAAAACTCCTGTATTAAACTGGAGTGCATGTTGTTTCTTCAAGCTAGAAACAATATGCAATTAGCCTTCTTCCATTTCCTGAAACTAGGTCTCTCTTTACCACATTATCAAACATCTAAATGTACTATAATATAGAAAGTCATCACTGGAGGCACAGTCCTGAATCCTCACCACCTCAGAGGACTCACCTCAAGTCCCACTCCTTTCTCCACTGGGTCAATACTGATTACTCTATCTAGGCTGATTTCTTTATCTTCTGAATTTCTACAGGAATTATTTGCTTAATCACTTAATAATTTTACTAGGCTTAATACCTGCTCAGATAACACTTGTATTAACCCCATCCTGCTTCTTTATCTTTTATGTTGATTACTTTTCCAACTTTCCATTGTCAGTGCCCTGGCCCTCTATAGTGAAACTAAGCTTCTTCAAAGAGAAGGCCACTCCATTATTTTTTGTTTTCCCCAAGCAAAACAAAAGTGATAACTATATATACAGGGTGAGGAAAAGTAGTTTGACAGTTGTTCGTATGGAAAATAATACAATAATTAATAAATAATAATGCAAGAATAAACTGTGTTTTGTGTACTCACAATTACAAACCTCCTTTTGTCCCACCCTGCATTGCTAAGTAACCATTCATTGCTTTGTACACATAAACCATAATCCTTCTTTATTCTGGTTTGGTGATGATGGGAAGAGATACCAGGAGGAACTCAGGTATGAGTTTAGAATTTTAAAAAAGTTCCAGAACTTAATTTTGGTTAAGTAAATTGCTTTCTGTTGAGTCCTGATTGGTACTTGTGAGTCTTTATACATATACATTCATTAAACAAAGCCTAGTGTAACTTAAAAAGCTCATAAAAAGTAATGAGAACATTTTTCTAATTATGGACTGTGATGAGAGGTGGCTTCATGTTTTTTTTGTTTGTTTTTTTCCACAAAAAAAAACCTTACCAAATGACGGAACAAAAAAATCTAGGCTGAAGTAAATAATTTTGCTCTTGGTCTATTCTTATAATGTCATCTGAACAACAGTAGAGCATTAATTTTTTATTGAACTTGACAAAGCCCTAAGACATCAGTGCTCATGAGGGAAAGAGACAGAGAGTTTAGTGTGATGGGGTAATGCAGATTAGAGAAAGAATAAAGGTAAGGCCTATGACAGATTTTGTTTTTAAAGACGTCCACAAATTGCCCATCATTTTTACTTCGTCAGTGTGACCCTGCTGCTTCCCCATCAAGAGGTAGAGTCAAGTCCATTTCCCCACCCCCTTAAATTTGTGTGAATCTTGTGACTGCTTTAACCAACAGAACATGGCAAAGTAACACTGCAAAGTTCTTAACCAGCCCTTATAACTTTTGTTAACTTGTTTCTCAAGAGCTAGCCACCTGAGAAGTCATAGCCCTTAAAGAGGTCCTAGAAAAATGAGCCACCAGGTTGCGGGGGGTGAGGGAACTAAGGATCCCAAGGTACCAAACAAAACATCTGGAAGTGAATCCTCCAGACCAACCAACCTTGCTAGTACCACATGACTAAGGGACAAACCACCACCCAGGCTAACTCTTCCCAAAGTCCTAATCCACAAAATTGTGAACAAAATGAGTAACTGTTTAAGCCTCTAAATTTGGATGTAGTTTGTTATATAAAAGTAGATAACCAAAACACAATCCTTAACAATGACTTGGCGACATTCTCTATGTATTAGCTCTAATTATCAGGAAAGAACAACTATGCCAGGCATAGTTTCATTTGCCACCTTTTGATATGTCTCCTGGCGAACAGCCAATCTTTATTGCAGCCCGTACTCCAAAGCTCTTACCTAAACAACACTCACTCCTGACTTACATAAAAGATTACCAATTGTTGGAATCTCCCTGCACCAATCCATGATGATGACATGGTCTTTTCCTTACATTTACTTAAGTAAATTTTCAAAGCCTATTGAATTGCCCGATCAAATGTACTCTAAAAACAAAATTTTTATTTCTAGAGATCTTCTTTTTCCAAACTGTTGGTAGGTTAAGGAAACCACTAAAATAGTTTTGCTAAACCTGCTAATGGAACAAAATTTTAGGTAAGAAAAGATTGGGTATATTTTGTTTTGGATATACTTAAATATTCCAAAACGAAAATAGCTCTCTTAAGAGGAGGAGAGATGGCAGATTTCAAGTCTAGGGCAAAGAAGCCATCAAAAGACTGCTAGGATCATGTTCAAAGAACTCCGGAGACAACCTGAAGGGTGTCCCCTTAGTAAAATGAGACAATTTGAACATCAATAAGGATGAACTAAAACACATTAAATTTGTTTAAATCCATGGCTTCTTAGTTATAATTTTTAAAAATTTCTTAGCTGTAATTTTTAAAATTCTCTTCAGACTATGGTCACTTTCAGACTATGTTAGGGAGCCAATTCATTATTTTGAAAATTGATAAATTAAGAAAAAGAATCAAGCATTTATCCTGTTTTCCTAATAAAATTATATATCAGATAAACAGTTGATGAGAAATTTCACTTTATAATGTACTTTAAATAATAAATGAAAGAATGCTAGAATATCACCAATTTGCAATCCCTAATGAATTAACAGACCTAGACAATGATGAACCACAGTACTAACACCATAAAAATGATGAGCAATAAGATATTATGTTTCTCCTATTGAAAGTTCACAATACCTTTTATGAGAAAAATGCCCCCATTTCAGATTAGATTTGAACTCATATTTAATCAAACCTCTACGCATAATTAACAATTTACATAAAATACATGACAGAGAAACATGTTAACACCACATGGAAGCAATTGGAAAAATCCAAATCATGGAAAACTGTACAGGCAAATAGCCTAGTTTCTCCAACAAATAAATTGTAAGTAAAATGAGATAAAGAAAAACCTAAAAATTAAAAAACTTAAATGATATCACCAACAGCAATATCCAGATTTTATTTGGATTTGATTCAAACCATTAAAAATTTTTTCTGATACATTGCCTTGGGCAAGGGAAACAAAAGAAAAAATAAATAAATGCGACTACATCAAACCAAAAAGATTTTGCACAGCAAAGAAAATCTTCAACAAAATGAAAAGAACCCACTGAATGGGAGAACATATTCGGCAATGATACATCTGATAAGGGGTTAATATCCAAAATACCTAAGAAACTCATACAACTTGACACCAAAAAAAACAAACAATCCAATTAATAAATGAGCAAAGGACCTGAATAGACACTTCTCCAAAGAGGACATACAGATGGCCAATAGAGAAAACATGCTCAATGTCACTAATCATCAGAGAAATGCAAATAAAATTCACAATCCACCATGAGATTATCACCTCACACCTGTCAGAATTGCTATCATCAATAAATCAACAAACAACAAGTGTTGGCGAGGATGTGGAGAAAGGGGAACCCTCATGTACTATTGGTGGGAATGCAGATTGGTGCAGCCGCTAAGGAAAGCAGTATGGAGTTACCTCAAAAAATTTAAAAATGGAACTGCCTTATGACCCAGCAATTCCAGTTCTGGGCATATATCCGAAGAAACCCAGCACACTAAGTTAAAAGAATACATGTCCACTGCAGCATTATTTACAACAGCCAAGATTTGGAAGCAGCCCAAGTATCCATCAGCAGATGAGTGAATAAAACAGCTGTAGTACATTTACACAATGGACTACTACTTGGCCATAAAAAAGGAAGGAAATCTTACCCTTTGTGACAGCATGGATGGACCTGGAGAGCATTATGCTAAGTGAAATAAGGCAGCCAGAGAAAGACAAGTACCATATGATTTCACTCCTATGTGGAATCTAATGAACAAAATCAACTAACAAAATAGAAACAGAGGCATAGATACATGGAACAGACTGACAGCTGTCAGAGGGAAGGAGAGTTTGGGGCCAAGTGAAAAAGATGAAGGGATCGAGCAAAAAAATAAAAAATAAAAAACAAAAACAAAAAAGACCTCATAGAAACAGACAACAACATGGTGATTATCAGAAAGAGGGGCTGGAGGGAGGTAGAAGAGGGTAAAGGAGAGATAAATGGTGATGGAAGGAGACTTGACTTGGGGTGGTGAACTCACAATGCAATATACAGATGATGTATAATAGAACTGTACATCTGAAACCTATATAATTTTATTAACCAATGTCACCTCAATAAATTTGATAAAATAATAATAGCAATAATAATCTATAAAAAAACAGGGGAATGTGAATGCTGAAAGGATACTTAATGATATTTAGAAATTATTACTTTCTTAGGTGTAATAATATGATTATGTTTTAAAAAGAAG